AAAATCAGGTAATCTCATCATAGGTGCTTCCATCATTCGCTTCTTAATCTCCTCAAAAGCCCTAGTTGCAGCTATGGTCCAAAGAAACTCTTCTTTCTTAAGGCAATCCGTTATTGGCGCTACTTTGGTGCTAAAATTTCGAATAAACCTCCGATAAAATGTGGCCAATCCGTGAAAACTCCTAACATCTCTAATATTCTTGGGTTCTGGCCACTCATTTATAGCTCGCACCTTTTCAGGGTCAGCAGATATGCCTCGGGAAGATATGATAAATCCAAGGAAGGTTACTTGATTTGTGAGGAAAGTGCACTTCTTAGGATTGGCATACATCTGCTCCATTTTCAAAATCTCACAAACTTGTCTTAGATGATTCAAATGTTGTTCCACCGAATGACTGTAAATTAAGATATCATCAAAGTATACTACAACAAACTTTCCAAGGAAAGGCCTAAGGATCTGAGTCATCACTCTCATAAAAGTGCTTGGGGCGTTGCTTAATCCAAAAGGCATTACAGTCCACTCGTATAACCCATCTTTGGTTTTGAACGCCGTCTTCCATTCGTCCCCGGGGCGGATTCTAATTTGGTGATAGCCACTCTTAAGATCGATCTTCGAAAATAGTGTGGCTCCGGTCATCATGTCCAACATGTCATCTAACCGAGGGATTGAGAAGCGGTACTTGACAGTGATTTTGTTGATAGCACGGCTATCAACGCACATTCTCCACGACCCATCCTTCTTAGGGGTAAGAAGGGCAGGAATCGCACACGGGCTAAGACTCTCCTTAATGAACCCTCGTTGTAACAGCTCATCTACTTGTTTCTTGAGCTCCTCATGTTCAGTGGGGTTCATTCGGTAATGGGGTAGGTTTGGTAAAGAAGCTCCAGGCACTAGGTCTATGGCATGTTGAATGTCCCTTAGAGGTGGCAGTTGGTAGGGCAAATCTTCAGGGAAGACATCAGAAAAAGTATCCAAAAGTGGTTTTACTTCCTTAGGGATTGGTTCTTCTTCTTCTACACTCACTTCCCGGGCTACTAACGCGTAAAGAGGGGCTCCCGACTCTAATTCCATACCTAGGTCTTTAGCAGTTAATAAATTCAAGCCTGTGTTGGGTTTCAGGGAGTTGGGCTTAACTTCTTCCTTGGTAGACTTAGGTTGAGTGGGTAAGAGTTTAATCTTCTTGCCCTCGTGTTCAAACACACATGTGTTCGATCGTCCATAAATGTGTACATCGTTGTCGAACAACCAAGGGAAGCCAAGGATGATTTGACCCACATCCATTGTCAAAACCTCGCACCAAAATTTCTCTTTATATCCAACAAACTCAATAGGAACGAGACTCGTATCTTTTACCTCCAAGATGGTTGAGTTGATCCAGGCGACTTTGTAGGGGTTTGGGTGTGGTGTGGTCCTTAACTGAAGTTTCAAAATCATAAAAGAAGATACGACGTTGATACAACTTCCACTGTCTATTATGACTTTGCAATTCTTGTCTCCAATCTTAGTGAAAGTGTAGAAGATCGAGGTCCTTCGCCAGTCTTCGCTAGGCTTAGGCTGCGAGAAGGCACACCTAATGACTTGCAGATCTAAGTGATTCATCTTTTGAAGACAGTGGATCACAGCAGTATCCTCTTCGTTGAAAAACTCTTCATCATCATCCATTTGGTGAACTAATTCAGCTTCAGGCTCATCCTCTTCTTCCGTTACTTCTTCAATTATTGTGACCTTAAACGGGCTGGAGCATTGAGAGGCAATATGTCCGTACCCATGGCACCTAAAACACTTAGTGCCGACAGTGGTTTTGGGTGTCTCCCGTTCAGGTGTTTTCCCTTTATAGTCTGATCGAGGTTGGGCTTGGCTAGGGGAAGGCCGACTACCTGAGGGTCCAGTGGGTTTGTTGTAAGGTTGGCTAGAAGAAGACTTGAATGGGTTGGGTCTAGAGTCTTGAGTCCTAGTGACGTGGCTCCTAAATTCTTCCAGGTCTAGTACAAGACTACAGGCAGCTTCATACATATTCACTCCTCTAGCAAATAGTTCATTTCTAAGATCTTCCCTCAATCCAGCTCTGAACATTGACAGGAGTTGTGTAGGAGTGGTGGTCTCTTCCCCGTTACAGCGAATCAAGAAATCATCAAAGGTTGATATGTATTCCTTAACAGTCTTACTTCCTTGAGTTAACCTATTCCAACGATCTAATAGTCTTGGGTAGTAGGAGGGAGGGAGATATTTTCTTTTCAGTTCGTGCTTCATCGCTCCCCAGTCAGCTATAGGATATTCTCCTCTAGTTTCTCTCATGTGCTCTACGTTAGTCCAGTATTGGTTGGCTCTACCAATCAACTTCATCTCAGCAAATCTCACCTTTTTCTCTTCAGAAATATTATACCACTTGAAATAGCTATCCATCCCTTTGAGCAAATCAAGAAAAACTTGGGGTTCTAACGTACCATCAAACGTAGGGGGGTCTACCTTAATACTCTTAAGGAGTTGCGTATCGTTGTCCCTCCAAGGTGCGTCACGTCCTACCGGTTCTTGATGGGGTCGGTGATTGGGTCGGTAGTAGTCTCTAGGAGGTCTGTACTCTGTTCGGGCATCTTCGCCATAAGGTGATTGTGGTCTAGATGGGGTATAGATGGCCGGGTGTCCTGCCCTTTCGATGTTGTCTAGTATTTCCCCCATATGACGTTTAAGCTCCGCTACACTCATTTGGGTGTCCCTAATTTGTTGTGACATTGAGCCCAACTGGCTCACAATCATGTCTAAGGTTGCTTGCATATGTGTGGGATCCATGGTTGGGTGCTAAGGATCACTAGGAAGGCTTCCTAAGTCAAGGGCAGCAGCTAATCCCACTGAAATGCTTGCTGAAATTGTAACTACAGCAGCTGGAAAGTCCAGGGCAGCAAGCACAGAAGAGGGTGAAGTTACCTAAGTGTTTCGGCAAGGCTCCAGGGTCTAGACAGCACCTAAACAGCGACTCTAGGTCCGCTAACGGATGTATAACAGCTGCAGAAAACAGTGGACAGCAACTTAACACTACCTAGAACTCACTCTACCGGCTATACTAAGTGCAGAAAATTAGCGGGCAGCAAATGTCTAAGTGGCCTAGACTATTATGGATGTCAAAATGAAGGTGGCATCACTTAAACACATGAAGATACTAATGTAAGATGAAATAAATGATGCAGATTTTTCTGGACAGCAGTAGAAAAACAGGAAATAAATCTATCTAGTTGATGGTATGCATGCAAACTTCTAAGGATAACTTAAATTGTATTCCTAGGATGCAATCTAGCAAAGGGAAAGCATGCTAGCCATGCTCTGATACCAAGATGATGTGTGATACGTTCAAGAATTGCACATGAAATTCATTAAGAATCACAAAGTTTACCAATGTAAGATTAAACTTTCGTAGGTTAAGATTCAAGAAATTTCCGTTAACGAAATGTTATGATAAGCGGTTACAAACTAGTGTTTAGACACAATTAATGAAGGGTCTCAAAAGTTACACAATAAAGCAAATGCGGAAAATAATAGAATCCCACGGCTAATGTCTAGAAAGTTCACAACGAGTACCTTGCTCACTCACACTCAAGTCGGGCTTAGCGGGAGAAGGCCTTTAGCAAACTTACCGATGCCACGAAGACGGTGGCCACACCAATGGACTTTAGCCACGGAGAGGTTGATGGTGACGAGGATGGCGTGAATGCTTGACTGTCGATACTCCAATCGTAGCTTGAAAATCATCGGTCGATGATGCTCACAAGAATCGGGACGACTCGCTCCAAGTATTCTTCAACTGTGGCGTCGTCTTCAAATCCTACGTCAAAGCACGGAGATCGTAGGATATTAATGCTTCCGTCGGCGTTGAACACCAATCCCCAAATGTCATTAATGCCTTAATGGGGGCATTAAGGGGGCTCCACCATGGATGGGGCCGGCGGCTTCTAGAGGGGGGGAATTGGGTGTGGGAGCAATGGAATAGCTTCCAAATTAGCACATGAGGTTTAGGAAGGGTTAGGATGAATTCCGTTTGAATTTGAGTTTCATCATGAAAACGGACTTAAAACTTTCCTAATTTGGAAATTCCAAAATTGGAAAGTTTTTGAAATTCAAATTTTGAATTTCAAAATTGGAATTCGTAGGGAAGGGGTTGAGTGGGTGAGGGGAGGTTGCCGGCGAGGTGGTCGGTAGAGGTTGAGGTGGTGGTAGGCGGCGGTTTCCCAAGGGGCGGCGGCAATGGGGTTGAGGAGGGAATTCTTGTAGTGGAGGTGAAGAAAATGGAGGAAAATACGAACGCGATGATCGAGAACTAACCATGAGCCGCGGACTCTTCCAACGACTGGTGGGCCTTGCGAATTGCTCCTCTTGAGCTCTCTTCCCTCTCAAGCACTCATGCTAGAAAAGTAGAAACAAAACATAACTTTTTCATTCAAAATTCATTAACCTCAATACAACTAGAAATGACCTATATATAGGTCCCAACACAAAAGAAAAATACAAAGACTATATTGCCCTCGGGGCTACAATCGTGACTCAGCTCATACTAAGGGTACAATAGGAAACTCCAAGAAATAAAAGAAAAATGCATAAAAGAAAATACATAAATAACTAGAAATATAAATTCTGAATCGTGGCCGTCGATCTGCGTTGTCTCCTGCGATACACATGCTTGAATCTCTGATCGATGTCCGCATCATATATATTTTTATATTTATTGATATTAAAATTTTTCAATAATTCTAAAAAAAAATGCCCATCGAGTAAAAGCCCATTCAATTCATTTGCTTGTCGTCCTAATCCTTTTATTATTACAACAAAAGTCATGCTATTACTTTCTTGGAAAGACTTGTGTTTATGTCTGTGATATATTTATTTAAATTTTAAATGTCTTGTATACAGTGCACTGGAACCCAGTTCCCTTAATCTAGCAATATATCCTCTGCTGACATCATATGCTAGTCCAGACAAGCAAGCTTATCCACGCCATTCTTTGAGCCGTGCTGCTCTTATAACCAGTGGAAGTCCCATTTTTCTGCTTGATGCTTTCACAAACCTCATAGTGTACTATTCTCCAACGGCTGATCCATCACTTCCATTTCCGCCGCCCCATGACTGTGAGTACTCACCTGCTTGATTTCTTTGTATTATTGCTTATCTATTTCACTACCACCATTAGTGCTAATACCTTCTGAGGACTCCATAGTCGAGATGTGTTAATCAGAACTTATGGGTAGAATCCTGCTGCTTATAGATCAACAGTGAGGTCAGTCAGCAGCAGGATTCAGACGTTGAGTTTTGGATATTTAATTTTTTCGTCTTCGTTTTCTTCTGGTGCAAAATTTCTGATTCATGATCATTTAAAGGACTTATTTGATTGCCAAAAGTCATTTGGTTGGAAGTAGTTAGAAAAATGAATGTTGATTTTAAAATCTATAAAGATTTTAAAATTTTTTCAGAAATATGGATTTTATTTTTGAACTCAGATTGAGTGAAAATAAAATCATTATTTTTTTTAAAAAGGATTTCCAATTGGAAAGTAACCAAATGAGTCTTAATGGAAAGTGAAATTTAAAATGAAAATCAAATTTGATAGAGCTTGGTAGCAATAAAAAACTTATTATTAATTAAAAAAATATATAATATATGCAACAATTTTAAAGATTTACTCTCTCTATTACACTTTGTACAATTACTTTCACCAATAGTAACAGCCATGCTAAACAAATCCTAAATTTCTGGTAAGGTTTATCTAAAATTCTCTGAATTTGCTTTGAAATGAGTGGAATATAAATTTTGATTCAATATTCATTTAAGTACTCATCTTAAAGAAAATTTAATAATTTTGAGATCTATCTTGTCCGAAAATTTGTCATTTGAAAAAGAACAATGCTTGGAGTAGTTAGAATTTTTTTTTTTTGAGAAAATGAGCAGTAAATCACAAAGTATGCCGATCAAACACATCCTTACACATGGTCTTGGAGAAATAACTTTCTTGTTGAACTTTTCAACTATTGGGCCGCTGATCCACTACGTCAAGTTGGATCAACTTTTCAACTACTGACTGTCTCGAATTCCTCTACATCAAGTTGGAATATGAAAATAGCTTTTCAAAATAATAATAATAAAAAGAAATATCCCATCACACAGGCTGTAAGCTGAAAAAGACCACTGAGATGACATATTGCACGTGTGAATAAGACTTACTTTGTTTCCAGGTCTACTACGAAGCACGGTGAATAAACTAAAGCAAGAAAGGAGCATTACTCCTAGGCTCTTATTCATTCATGGCGGTCATGATGACTCTTCAGTATTCGAGAACTATCTCATTGAAGAGCAGGATGTGGATGGCACGGGTATAACGAGCGTCATGGGCTTTGTTTCATTTCTCGAGGAGATTACACGGGATGTTTCCGAGTACCTTAAATAGAGCACAGGCAAGTTGAAATCAACTTTATGGGTAAGCAAAGCTTTCCAGTCTTTGTTGAAATGGAACATAATCACAATGTGAAATTGTGAGTATTCTTCTTTAGTAGTTATTTTGTGCGAGAGCTTATTAACATATTTCATTTTTTTATATGACTAAGAGAACTTCTGAAAATTTTGTTAATTTCAACGTGATGTATTTTATGGCAATTGCTAACATCTAACACTGGAGTTTTTTGTTTAGTTATATATTTGATAGCGTTCTAAAAAGCATAAAAAAGTCCCAAATGAGCCCTAATTACTAATTATAGTTGTCCATCATTAAATGCATTGCTGTACGCAATATATACAAATGATGCTCCGTATATGATATACAAACAGTCAGATCCATTGAGCTTTTCTTCATTTCTTCACTTTTCTTCCCTTTCTTTAAAAGCACCACTTGTATTAACAGTATGATGCACTCTGTTTAGGCCTTATTTTGTTGCTTGAATGAGCATTCTGTCTCAACCGAATGAGCCCTTAGTTTTTCATGAAATATAAATGTTTATGCTGCTGAATAAAGTACTATGTATGATACAATGCACTTGATTAATCATTTCTGACTTACGTATGAATCAATACTTGTTCATCCATGTAATTGCAAAGGTTTGATGATCATTAAGTGTGGAGAACAGTATGTTATCTTATTATATTGAAGTGACAAAATTGAATTCCACCAACTTTATCAATTGGACACTTTTCTTTTAGCAAGTTTATTTCATATCACTTTGCATCATAGGAATGCCTGAAGATCTTTAAATACATAGAATCAATCAGCTCCAAAAGTTGATTGAAGATGAGTGCGTGGATTTATTCTGCTCCACAGCTATTAATAGATTTGCTTCATAGGATTTGTATGTTTCTGTACGAATTAAAGAACTGAGTAGCAAAAACATCGGGAAAAAAATATATATATATAATAACATGTTAGTGAAAGGAATCAAAATAAAATTATGAAGAGGAATCATTTTCCTCAAACTGGATGGGAATTGTAGAAGAGGCTAAAATTAGACATCATAAAGGTGATATATGTATATTATTGGGATCTTATCTCACCGATCGGAAATTTTGGCACAAAAGCAATTTGAAGCAATTTAGGGCACAAATTTGTCTGTATTGCTGGAAGGTTCTCAAACTAAGTTGAAACTGGGATGAATTAGTTTGATTGACTCTCTACCCTCACATCACCAATTTGGCCAAAACGTTGTGACCTGCACACCGATGCACTCTGATTTCCGTAGCATGTGTTTATCACTACAATAATTCTGAAATTTAATATATTAATATTTTTTAAACAAGTTGGCTCGTGAGTTGACAAGCCTAGCTGAGACAGGCTTAAGCTTAGCTCTTTAGCTCATCAGGCTCGGCTCATGAGTTATTTTTTTGGGCCGAGCCCAAATTTGCTTGACTGGTATAAGTCGTTAACAGCCACTTTATTTAGGATAATATCCAATGGCCTGCAAATCTTCTTATGTTAGGCCATCTCTAACCGAAAAACTCAAATTTTACGTCAAAATGCAGTAACGTGTCTCCAATCGAATTTTATTTTTTAACATCAAAAAATGAATATTTCTAGTATATTTTTTTACCCATACTTTATTTTATATATTAAATATTAATTTTTGAATAATAATAAAAAAAACAAATAGCTTACTCTTTCTTACATTTTCTCACATTTGATGGAAATTATTACTTGCAGAGTCCCGATTTAATTTTTTATCCTGATTTCAATTACGTGAAGACGCCTGCATTTTTTTTTTTTTTTTGTACATACTCTATGTAATGTACAAAGAGGTTTTAAGCTTTATACACATACTTTGACTCTTCTCTCTATCTTTCTCTCTATTTGATCTAAGGGATAATAATTAAATTTTTATGAATATATATATATATCTGTCTCTGAATTTTTATTTTTTGAAAAATCAAAATCTTTTCACAAGAATTCTACGAAAGAGATTTCAATAAATTGGGGACGTCAACAAGTTAGAGCCGTCATATTGGTGATTTGATTCAAGTTAAAAAAACTTATATGATGATTGTCACTTTATTATTTTTAAATATATTTTAATATAATTAAACTTTATGTTTAAATAAGATGTAATTAAATGAATCATTATAAATTTGTTAACAAGTTATTTTTTCATTCAAGTTAGAGATGTAGACATACTTTAGATAAGTTTAGAGCTGCTTCAATTAATATTATGTTCTTCCTTTTGACTACCCCAATATACTGAGGGATCCTAGATCATGATGGTGAACCCTAAACCCTAGATGAACTTGAACATATGCGGTCATAATATCAAATAAATTCGCGTAGAAATCAATTTTAATGACATTTATGCCGATCTTGGATTAAGGAAAAAAAATATTCTCATTATCATTTAAATGTGAGCAATAGAGTGCAAATATATTATTTGCGAAAAAGATGAAGTCAATTTTGTAATCATGAATTGTACAGACAAATTGAAAATAAATTATAAAAGTTTAGGCTTTGTTTGGGATTGCTTTAGTGTTTTATAAAGTTTGTTGTGAAGTTGTCATAAACAAAGCAACTTCACTTCTATGGTTGCAGAAAAAAAGTTTCCATCGGAAAATTTTTTAAAACCCAATGAGAAAGTTGTAAGAAAGTAGCAGCCATATGAAAATATAGTTGTTTGAAAAATAAAATAGATAGAAAGTTGTCTTAAACAAACCCTTAATCCTAGATGATTTGATGATTACAAAAGTTGATTAAAGTATAGTATCACCAAAGATTTAGCTTATTATTATTATTTGTTATTTTTATAGACCTAAGATAGGAGAACAATAAATTGATGATAGTTTTGACATAGAGATTTACAAATTGAAAAAGAAGAAGATACATTTTAAGTTTATATTCGTTAAGTTAGCATTGCTCATAATATTGAATGACGAACATGTGAAGATTTAATAAATCAAGATTAAGATATTTTATTTTCTTTTGAATGACCTTTTGATCAAAATCATAGAGATCATAAATCATATATATATAACTACCGACGTAGATTGCATATGTTTTCATTTACAGTAAGAATTTGCGTTTTCTGTTCTTGATGAATTTGAAGATTCTGAAAACCAAAAAGATTTTTTAGAACTCACATTTTTTTGCTTGCCACAACGAAAACATAAGGAAAGTTGTTTTGGAGAAATAATAAACTCATTGCTCTACAAATTTAAAAAGAAATTATAGATGCCACTGCAATTGAGACTTCGAATATCATAATCAATGAACTAGGTAATGATTTATTCAGAATTTTATTGGATGAATCATGAAATGTTTCAGTGGAAGATCAAGTTGCAATTGCATCATTTCATGTTTAAACGATGTGGTGTTATTGAGCATTTTATTAGTGTTGTGCATATAGACAAGGCGTCTCTACTTCAACACTAAAAAAATCTATTGATTTACTTTTCATAAAATATGGGTTGTGTATAGTCTGACTATGCTGATAAGATTATGATGGAGCTAGCAACATGTATAGTGAGTTTAAAGGGCTAAAATTTTGATCATGAAAGAAAATTATCCAAGTTAACTTTTAGAGGAAGAGGCTTGAATAAAGAAATTGCTCTTCAATGGGATGGAAATAAACGTTGGTTTTCACACTATAGCTTGTTTATTAGTTTAACTCTTCCATTTGGATATATTATTGAGGCTCTTGAGATAATAATACAAGATTATCAAACATTGAGCAAAAAATTGAAGCATATGCTCTACTTGATATGTATAATGCTTTAAATTTATTTTTTAATTTGCATTTGATTAATGTTATATTAGGAGTCATAAATGAGTTATTACAAGTGTTGTAAAGAAATGATTAAGACATCAATAATTTCATGACTTCAGTAAAAATATTGAAACAAAGTCTCCTAAAGTTGAGAGATCATGGGTGGAATATTTGTTTAAAGAAGTTTGTTGTTTTTATGAGAAAAATAATACAACTGCTCCAAATATGCTAATATATTTATAATGCAAGGGAGATCAAAGCATATGATTGAACAATCACAAATAGATATCATTATTATAAAAGATATGTAACTCAAGAACTCAATGATATATTTGATGAAATAAATATGGAGTTATTTATATGCGTGACATGTTGTGATTTTAATTTTTGTACTAAAACTTTGTTTTAAGAAGCAACAAAAAAGCAGTCCCAAACAAAGCCTAAGAAGAATGACATTTATCATTTAGTATTCATACTTATAAAGTTTGCTTTGATACTAATAATTATTATGTTAACGGTCGAACATGCATTCTTTGCTATGATTATTGTAAAGAATTATGTAATAATGTGGGAACTCTTAGATGAATAATTATCTCATTACGTATATTAAAAAAAATATATTTAATAGTATTGATAATGAAACGATCGTAAAACTATTTCAAAATATGATAACTTAGAAGTGAGAAACTCTAGGTAGCATATAAAGATAATATGAAGAGCAAAAGTTCTCTATTATGTTTTTTTCTCTTTCTATAATTTATTTTTAATAATAAAGACTCTTAAAAAATTAAACCACCAATATAAGTCCCAAGCTTAGATGAAAAAGGTTTAGGATATTCTTAAAATGAGCCCTCGAAGAAAAGAAAAAGAATCTTGCTCCGCCTCGTTTAGTTTTCTTGAATGCCATTGATCTCTAACATAATTAATCACCTATTATATTGATGAGAGCTGAATCTTCAATGATAGTAGACATGAATCAGTAGAGAGAATCAAGAGATGGTTCATCATTTTGAATCCTAAGAAAATTTTATGGGGTAATGTAATGTGAGGGGAAAATGTAATGCTTTATTTTTCATGCCCACAGTACTCACTTCCCTCATCCTTATGATGATTGATGTTTTTTTCGAAACAATTTTTTTTACTGTTTTTATGATAAGAAAAATAGTTCGTAAAAATTAATGGGTTTGAAAGATAATTTTTTCTCTTTTTATCATATTTTTGCCTTTAAAAAGCTGTTTTTGTGGAAACAGTTTTGAAATGTAACTGAGAAAGTAGTTTTAAAAAGCAAAAACAAAAAAACATTTAAGCTTCCTCAAATAAAGCCTGAATTTGCCTAACCAACCAATAGATCATCCTTTTTCATCTTCTACAAATGTTTGTCGACAGCCTTCTGTATCTTGATTCTTATAACATCCACAAATGTCTACCTCCTTCCTATAATCTCAGTATCGATCTCCCATTT